TTGATTCCCCCATTAGATTGATAGACCAATCGATATGCATTCGTCAGTTCTAGGATGTGAGCATAATCATTGAAATCAGCTTCCGAAATTACTTCTCCATTAGGAACTTTCATGAACGATAATTCCAAAAGCCCTTCTGTTGGTTGAAAAGGATGTCCATTAATGTTGATTATCTTCTCCCCAAATTCTACTTTCATATTCCCAATCATCAGACTGTTCGCTATAGCATCAAAACGCATCCCATATTGCGTATCTCGTTTCTCGAAAGTTCGTGCATTATTAAATTTTTTATGTACTCATTTGCCAACACATTTGGTGAATAACTTTCTTCTTCTGTATATGGTAGTGACAATCTTGATGGAACGTAAGTTTCATCGCTATTGTTTGCAGTATTATGGCTGGCATCATCGCATACTATAATACTATCCTCTTCAGCACCATCAGCCGCATCATTGAAAGAGGCTGTTCGTGATGATGATGATGATGATGATGATGATGGAGATCTTCCCAAGAACCGCCCTTTGTTTTCAAGTGTATGTTGTTGGTGTTGTTGCTGAAGTGGTGAAGAAGCATATAGAGGTGCGGTTGGTAGGGCTAATGTTTCAACCATTTTCTTCAGAGGAGCTATCATAGGCTTCAGTGCTTCATTTATCTGCTCATCCATTGCACAGCGTTGCGATTTTATCGCTTTGCATTTTCTCCTGATAGTATTGCTAACCTTCGCAATATCGGTTAAAATACTCAATTCTTTAGGAACATCAGTATTCTTCATCCTGACTGATTGGAGGTTGGAAACTGAATACACTTATGATGACAGTTTAGAGCTATTTATAGTGATAAAGCGATCGAATCCTTCCCTATATCGACCATCATTTACGGTTCTATCCTTATCAATGACGATGAAACCATGATTGTGAAACAGCACGACGCACGCCGGAGAGAATAACTGAAATCCACCATCCCTACGTCACGGCCCACGTAACCTGGAAGAAAAGAAAACCCCCCACGACTACGTCACAACCCACGTGACACCGGAAAAGTAACAGGACAGTCCCTAACAATAGGGAAATTAGAAGTAATAACAAGGACACTCGATGACGAGTGTCCCCGATTGACCCCGATTATCACCGATAATCGGGGAAGAACGAGCACGAGTGATGCGACGATATCACTCGTAATACAGCTGCCCCGTGTAGAAGAGAGATTTTGAAGAGATTTTGAAGAGATTTTGAAGAGAGTTTGAAGAGAGTTTGAAGAGAGTTGGAAGAGAGTTGGAAGTGAGATTTGGAAGAGAATTTGAAGAGAGTGTGAGGAGAGTTTGAAGAGAGTGTGAGGAGATTTGTGGAGAGAGTGTGAGGAAATCGTGTGGAGAGATTGTGAGGAGATTTTGTTGAGAGATTGTGAGGAGATCTGTGACGAGATTGTGAGGAGATTTGTGAAGAGAATTTTGAGGAAATTGTGGGACTATTTGTCCAGGAGAATTGTAGACCCAGGAGTGAGGACTAGGATGATAAGGACAGCCCTGTGTGGACGATTTCGTGCGGAGGATTTTTTCTGAAAGGATTAGAATCGTCAGCATCCCCGTGAGTACCCTTTCTTACCTTTCCCGCCCCAACAAGTATTATCTGAACCCCTGTAATATTATTTCCCCCAACGATGAGCCTCTAAATTATTAATTATTCTTTCATTTGTGTAGGAGAAATTTTTGTATAAGAATAATCCTCCTATTTTTCCAGTGATCTTTAAATCGTTCCCCTAACTTCTTCCCTCTTTTCAATTATTTAACTTCCACCCGCTTTCTTTTGTTCTTTTACATTATCTTCTTTTTCTGATTTTTATTATTATCATTTACCGGTGTGTCGCGAGCTGGCTGGCCTTACCCCCCACCCTTGATTAATTATAAGAAAAGGCCTGAATTGTGGCGTATGAATTTTGTGTAAAAAAGTATCAGAATATAGAGTGTTAAATTATCCCCACGAGCAATCATTCACAAGCTCCCGTCCCCCTTAATATTTCAGGTCCCCCCGTAAATTTATAGGCATTTTCCCAATAAAATCATATATTATATTTAATTCCCGAATATCGGGCCTTCGCCAGGAATTCATATATTTTAATTCCCCGGCGAAGGTCACAATACATTTTGTGCAGTTATTATTATGCCATTGCTCCTGATGTGGAATGGATGGGAGCGTTTGGAGCAGATATAATGGTGGGCAGTCCATATCCTCCACATCAATGATCGCTATTTTCGTTCATTCTCCGATCCATATTTTCTTCTCGTAGCCCTTCACATAAATTTTTGTTGTATTTTTCCCCAAAAGATTATTGAACTGCTCCTTCAGTTCGTTATAAGGGATATCTCCATCACTCCATTCGATGCCATGATGGTTTCCTGTGCACCAGGAATTCATTTTCCGATAGTTATAAGGCAAGCAGCTTTACGGGAATGGCGGTTCGAAAAATAAATTGAACTTCTCGAATGGATTCATCAAGCGTATCCCTGCTAACTCCTTGAAAATGAACTCGTTATCCTCTGCCTTGAACACCTGCATGTCAACGACTGCATTTCTATGCACTTCAGAATTAATTGTTGGAACCGTGTTCGTCACAGCATAAATACTCATAAAAATGCTTGTGTTGCATAGACTCTGTAGACAAAGCACTCGCAATCTGCAGAATCACTCACAATACCAAACATTCCGCTGACAACATAACATTAGGCACGTTCCCATTGTTCCCGCAATTGAATTAATCATTCTGGGAATAGGGTGACCTTGAGAGAAAGAGAAC